TCAACTGGTCCAACGGCATACTTCGATACATTAAATCTGTTGAGTGTATTCATCGCACAGAGGGGTTTGGAAAACTGAGCATTAGACACTTGCAATGACATTGAGACCCATCATCCATCATTTATCACGCCAAGAAACTCCTGGTTCTATACAGAAAAGGTTCTGCACGGAGATATGAGACTTGATCGATACAAAGCATATTTGCGTATTACCATAACCGAACGAAAGTATTTCAAAGTTTTCTTTGCAAGACAATCTCATATAATCTCTTAAAAGTGGAACAATCATTTCTATCATAAACATATAAATTAATGACTGCTGGTATATCATCCTCTACTCGCTCTTAATCTCAGTCTGGAAGCCCTTAATAGCTTCTCTCTCTTCCGTCGTCAAATCAATGCCAAAATACTCCTTCAACGCCTCCACTCTCTCATCCTCTGTCCTCAACTCTTTCAGAACCTTTGTCTTACCTCCAGGGTTCTCCTTAACCACATCATTAACCAGCATTCGTTTCCCGTAAATTTCTTCACCCGTTGGTGACGTTTTGCTCTCTCTTAGAAGGAACTTGACAATCAAAACCGTCGTTGTCTGGAAACTGCGTGGGCTTGTGCCCGTGTAGCAGTTGCTGATCTCGAAATCGGCCGGTAGCCATTCAACTGAGTGACTGAAAGCATAGAAGCTGGTCCAAGGCTGGTCGCGGGAGTTGCGGCATTGGTAGATCCAGAGACGACGCCCGGATGTGAGCTCTGTTTGGCCGGGAATGAAGTCCTTTATAAGACGAGCATCTTGTGTTCCCATGTTAACCCACTCGGCGCCCTCGACCAAGGGCATGGGCTGTGTTGGGCCGTCGCCGCCAAATGAAGCATCCATAACCCAGCGAGAATTATCAGGTAGAGTTACAACGTTGACAATGTGAACCCTAGGAGCAGTTAGTGAACGATACTGATGACAGGATTGCATTCAATCTTGCCAGCCAACAAAATCACCGTGAGGAACACCGTCCTTTCGCAGACGAACTCGCACGCCTACGGGATATACTTGGAAACCAAGAGCTCTCAGCATGTAGCAGAAGAAGAGGTTAATCTCCATGCAGTAACCCCCCCTTCCGCGCCCATCCCCCACGATCTTTTGGTAGAGAGCTTGAGGCTCGAGAGTGATATTGCGATGCGACGAGTAATGCAGCGTCAAGTTATCATATGGGACTGTTGCGATCATGTGCTGATGCAGCACTTTGAGAAAGGCATGGTCCAGAATAGGCTCATTGCCCACGTAGAATTCTTGAGGGACTTGAAGATACTTGAGAAACCCAGCAACTTGGGCTTCAGAATAGATGGCTGACATGGTGAGGTGTAAGATGAGTTTGATTTACAACAACTACTGAAGAACAGCGCCTGTGGAAGAAGCAGGGAGAGCAACCACTTAAATAGAAGACCTCCACTGCTAGCAGACTTATAAATGAGTCAAGAGGGCGCCAGAAAAACCGACGTCAGCTTGAACTACAAATATGATCGATACCCTTACCTTACCTTACTCGTATGTCGCGCAAAACCAAAAACAAAACTGCCAATAACCCGCTGGAAGTTGGCGGTAGCGTATCATCTCTCCAGACTCCATAAAAACTGTCCGGGGCTTAAACTTGGAGACGCCCTCCTTTCACAGGCGCAGTCAGGGTCCAAGATAGAATCGGCCAATCAGGAAAATTTGGCGTCTACTTCGGGAGTTATTGCTAGTCTGATGTTGGTGCAAATCCCTAATAAATGCCTCTCCTTCTCGGTCCGTCTTACACGGTACCCACGGGAAATATGAGCGTTTTCAGGGTTCCTTTGATACGGCAGAAAGGCCATGAAGACCCCGATGAACAAGAAGAGCAATAGGTTCAGATGTTTGCTAGTCAACTAAAAATTCCTTTACTCCATGTTGGCAAAATAGACCGTTCATTACATGATTCTTTTCATGTCATCGCGCCTACAACGCCAAGCCCAAAATAACCCACCGGCATTTCTCTAAATGATGCAGATATGTACGTTCGTATCGTCTAAAGCTCCGTCCTCCGGCTCGACGTAGTTGTCGCAGCCGCACCATTCCTCTTCGCTTTAGTTCCCGCCAACTTGGGCATGAAGTCCTGGATACCCATCCAGTCCACCACGAACGCAGTGGTGATCCTCGCCCAGTCACGCACGGTTGGAAGATCGAGGTGCTCACCATCGTCTGTGATCTCGTGCCACACATCGGGGAATGGCGATGGAATGAGATGCAAGATGTCGACGCCGCGCTGCATGAAGGGTCGGTGATCATCGTCAATATAGCTGCGAGTGAATCGATTGGCTGTTTTGTTGCCATCTGGAAGGAAAGGGAATCTTGGCTTGGTCTCGAGGACATTGAGTTGTCGCATTCGCTTCTCAAGACCTGCCATGGCTCGGTATGCCCAGTGGGTTGTAAGGAAGTAAGAAGGAATAGTAGGATCCGCAGATCCTAAAAGATCGAGAAGAACAAACAGACTGATAGAGTCCAGAGGAGTCCTGTAAGTTGCTGTAGATCCATGGAACTGATATTCCCATTCCTCAGCAAGTGATCTTGACACCAAGTCAGTCAACCGTTTGCCTTGTATTTAACTCCATATTCAACATACCTGGCCCCATAAAGCGAGTCCTCCTCCGTCCAATGCTTGAACGCCTCTTCGCCATCTAGAAAGATGATCTGGATTCCCTGAGTCTCTTCAAGCCCATCATCCGCAGATCCATCCTTCTGCATCTTGGCCCATTTCGCAGTGAGCGCATCCTCAATGCTCCTCGCGACGTGCATCAACATGGCACATGGCGCTGCGCTGTCGATTGCGCCAATGAATCCTTCAGGCTCATATTTGCTATCGTAGTGCGCAACCAGCGTAAGTCGACTGACGTCTCCGTTCTGCGCCCAAGGGGGGTCTCTTCGAAAGATGAGGTTTGAGAATGGGATTTGCTTGTTTCCGTGCACAGGTGTCTTTGAAGTGGAATTCTGTATTTCGAGTTTCCATTCGGGGAGATTTTCCCTGAAGAACTCGACAAAGTGTTTCTGAGCACGCCGTTGACCCTCGGTGCCAGGCACACGAGGAATCAGAATAGGAGCAAGAAGCTTGCCATCCTTGATATCAAAGTCGTCGCCGGGCGAAGGAATGTTCTCGAGGGTTTCATCTGAAAGTGTCATGGACTCGGCGACCGTCGATAGAAGCAGGCAGACAAAGACGAGAAGCTTTGAAAGGAATGACAGTTGCGATAGCGGTCGAGGCATTGTCGAAGATTCAGCCAGGTATGGGAAGACACCAATAAATACTACTCTAAACCAACAAGAAGCGGGTTTTGGTTCGGGTTATCGTGGGGCGCAAAACTAGCTCATTCCGTCTGGAGGATCAGAACAATCGTATGAAAATGCGCAAAAGTTCAGCTGTGGCAGTGAGCGTGGACGTTGCGAACAAAGACAGAGTAGAATCAAGCAAACAAGTGCTTCGTGTCAGGAGTTAAACCTCTCTCGCCAGCCCATCCATGCAAGGGAGGAGGATAAGGCCAGGTACGACAAGAACAGATGTGGGGAGGAAAATAGTAGTAGGTAGGTAGGTACTTCACCCAGGCCCAGAACCACAGGCGAATCTTGGTACCTTGACTCAACACTCCGGCCACAATCCCATATGCGTGTGGCCACAAGCAGAGGTCAAAGCTCACATTATTCTCCGTTGATTCTTTGGTTTTCTCTATAACAATACTAAGCCTCAACCCATTATGTGTTATGTGTTTTATGAAATGGATCTGGACTTCATGTTGGTCCTTCAGCAGCTATGAACGATATTGGTCCGAAGCCCCTGTTAGCTCTCGGCGAAAGACGCCTTTCTGATGTGCACAACAGGCGCGGGGGAGGGCGGGAGAGGACCCTTTAAACGATGGTCGAACAGCCAGGGGTCGGGTTATTATAGTTGCAATGGTCAAACCCCATTGGTTCACGGTTATAAAGGACCTGATGACGAGGGCGCATTCGATATGGATAAGTCACACCGAACGCATTTATCAAGTTGGACACGTATTGCTTTTACTGGCCTATACAGATATAGTTATACTGTTGGCGTTATCTCGATTCTCTTCACTACCTATGCCAAGCTGCTATAGTCTAGGCTGAATGATATGGAAAGATCTCGTTGATCATACCTAAGCCTGGCGTGCAAGTCAGTCTTAGTAAAGGCTGGAATGCATTCCAGAGAGACTGAAATTCGACACAATGCTATTGATACTGAGACCACCTTGAGGAAAAGCATAGAGTTGTGTTATCTGATCATTCATCTTGACCTAAGGGGGGTTTTGCGTTCCGTTAAATAGGTAGGTAAGCATTATTGGGAGCTAGGTTGGAAATTTCTCTCTCAAAAACTTCCACCCCTTGACCCAACATTATGATACGAGAAACTAACGAGCTGGCAAGCAAGATTTCATCGTAACTCTTTACCAAAGGTTCCTGCAGACATCCATCTTCTGAAGCTAACGCAGGCTACGTCATCCCGTGAACCCCACGTTTCTAAAATGCTGTGAAGCCCCTCATAGGCAACAACGATGAGACAACAGTCCAGGTATCATGAAATTGGTATGGACGGCGATAGATAATAAAAAATTGAAGCTTCTTATTGATTTGGCTTGCGCCTTATGCGTCAAAGCCGGGGCCTATCCAAAGGCAGTCTCTAACACCATCATCTACACGTACTCCTCATTTATATCTATTACAATGAATATACCCCAATGGTTGTTGACGTGATACAAGACCCCTTAGTATCCAAGCATCATGAAGAATGCGAGAAACCCGCAAGTAAACACCAAACGCCCTCGTCATGCTTTAATTCCTCGCCCTGTATCGCGACACCAGTATTTTTTGTACCATGATCTCTCTCCAAAATGCTGCGCCTCTCTGGGTGGATTATTCTCTATGTCATTTCGATCTCTCAGGGCTTGACAGAACAAAATTGCTCGGCTAGAACGGCTAGTTCCGGCTTAGTGTAGCTTGTTGGCAGCCTGTGCCGCCTTGTTGGCGATCTGTTTCTCCTTGGGGATGGTGAGGGCATTGATGCCGAGGTAGTTGCAAATGCTGGTAACAACGAGCCAGGCCCAGCGGAAATAGACAACCATGGAAAAGAGAAGATAGGCCCACAGGTAGAAAAGCTCGAACTGGGCGCTGACCTGAGGGAGTCCAAATCGAGGCATGTTTCCGAGGAACGCACCACCAACAAGGGGGTATAGCATAACGGTCCACCATGGGAAAGGTTGACGAGTCAAATGGGCGAGAATAATCTTAGTGGTCAAGCGGCCAAAGACGAATGACATGATGAAGCAGAAAAGCATGAGGTGGTTCTCCTTCATGATGGTACTGTAAGGAGAGAAAACCCAAGCGGCGATCGAAAAAGTGAAGACGGCCATAGGAATCCACTCAAGGAAGACGGGAAGAATGGGCTCTCCTCTAGACTTGCGAGCCTTGGCAACGTTAAGCACACAGAAGGGAATCTGTGTAAAGACGAGGGAGCCAATGATTAGGCCAATCCAGATATCTCGGAAAGTGGTCTCGCCAAGGAGCTCAGCAAGCCCAGGTAGAGTATCCTTGATGCCATTAGCCAAAGGAATGGTCCAGATGCCAGGTCCCCAAATGCCAGACATGATCATAATTGCACAGGCAATAAGGATGCCTTCTGTAGGACCGTTGATAACGCCTAGGTAGAGAGTATGCGTGTGGTAGGTTTCCCAAGTCGAGAAGAACATGGGCAGGCATGGGCATAGAGCGGTGATGATGCCAGCTGGAGAGGTACCAAGACCCATAGCGGCAGTTTCGAGCAGACTGGCGAGTGTGCAGTTCAAGGAGTCGATACCGTGATCGAAGAGTTCGCCGAGGCCGCTTGAGGTTCCAGTTCGTCGAGCTTGCTTTCCGTCGAGGTTATCCATCGTTTGGTACATGAAGAGGCCAAAGGCAAAGCTGAAGTAAAGCCATGAAGGAGCCTGCAATAACACTTGCGTTAGTACGTCACTCCAGAGCCATGGAAGGTCTCCCACATACCGGTCCAACGAGATCAGGCATCCAGATTGCACAGAAAGCGACATTTATCAGGATGAAGCAGAAACCCAAAAGGGTCACCATGTTGGGAGCAATCCACAGTGGTAGGAGGTTGACAGAGGCATTCCACTACATGACGACAAAGACGCGTTAGCTATCACGAGCTCCCCAAAAAAAAAAAAACTTGGCACGCGAGTGCTGCCGAGCTCGTCCAGATGATAATTGTTGAGATAAAAAAGCAAAACAGGGTCGAAAACATGCGCAAAAGAGAGCTGGACGTATAGGCAATACATACGAAAGGACCAAGAACGTATTTCGAGACTGGCGACAGGTCGACGCTTGAGTACTTGTATGACTTGAAGTGCACCAGTGCGTCATCAGAGATGCACTCGGCAACATTCTTTTCTGCAGGGTCCCGACGTTAGTGGTCAACGGTCTATTTTGCAATACTCCATGGAACTCAAGCGTTCAAAGAGTTTCTTCTTCTCGGACTTACTCGTATTAGGAGCCATATTCGTACCGTCCGGGTCGGTGGCCGTTGGGTTGTAAAGCGGAAGTGTCTCGCTTGCAGTCATGGTGGAAGAGAGGGGCCGGAGGAGGAGGGGCCAAAAATGGGGGACTCTTTTAAAAAAGGGAACGAAGTGGAAGGTAAAAAAAAAAATAAAGACGTCGGTAAACACGCCTAAACAATCGGACCTGCAGCGACGGCGCAATAGTGACTTGCAGAAGGACAGGGTAAGGTAGATCCGCCAAAAGGCCTGCAAATGGATTGACCCTCGGCTCTCTACCAAGGCAGTATTATCCTAACAGAGACGGGCGGCGCGGCACGTGGGCGGGAAGAGAAAGATAATACAACAAGCGTGACAGGTTTTCTCTTATCGACAACGGTAGATGAACTGGATGTTAAGCCAAGGTTATATGTGGCGGACCTGATTTGCGAAGACGATCGGGAGGACTGAGACAGAGTAAACCAGCCAAGAATAGCGGTGAAGAGTCTGATAAAGAATTAAATATGTTGATGAACAGTTACCGCCAAAGAGTGATTTTTTTTTTTTTTTGCAGTTGAGGAAAAGAAGGGATTGAAAGGGTTTAAAGGGGCAGGTTTTGACAGCTCAAGACTAGGACTCGAAATTGGAATTCGACCTCCAACTCGTACTGGTGTCGTCGTACGTCGAGCCCCTGGATCGTAAACCTCAAAGCCCCTGCTAACACCAGCGATCCGATCCACTAGAGGTATCCGCTTACAGGGGAAACACGCATCTAAAATTGGGTAATTAGCGGCTCGTTCATTCGAAGGCTCCAATCATCAATTTGACAGCTAACGAAACAGGTCGACTTTGACGGCCCCTTTCTTGTGAGACTCGAGAACAATAGCAAGTTCCTTGAGCATCCCCACGTAGTGCTCTCAATTGCACAGTGACCTCCGCATGCTCAGCCCTGTCAAAAGGGTGCACCAGTCCTGTCTGCTCACGAGGAGGAGCCGCATAGACACATCATCATGAGATTGTTTCGACGTTATTTGATCCGTCTTAGCCGTTGGTGCCGAGGCGAGGGATGAACTAACGCTATGGATCAATGGCGCATGAATAGAATGATTTTCACATGCCCTTCTAGGCTCGTGAGCGCGTGAGCACCAACAAAAAGAATACGAGCTTCTCATTCAACTGCAATTGGCTGGAACGGATTCTAGTTGTAGAACAAAACTTACATCACGGCAGTTTGGTTGATCCGATAGCCCGGTAAACGTCTAAGGGTCTTGAAATGCGGAATGTGGAGTGAAGATCGACTGACGCTGACTGTGATGTCCTCCAACTCTCGGAATTCTTGAACCGACAACGACATGTCTCGATAGGCCACTGCTTGTTTCATGCATCATGATGTCACATTGGCTTCAAATCTGTCGTCAAAGGTTCCTGGTGGTTCGACTGCTTGATTGCAGTCAACGACATGTATTTCGTCCTGTTCTACCACCGATTCCCATCTCTTCGTCCCTCCGACATTAACGATATTAATGATGTAAAAGGGTAACCCCTCAAGTTGAATCATAAAAGAAAATATCCCACCATAAAAGACAACCAAACACCTAGACGTCCAAGGCTTCAAAGGAATGTGGAGCAATAAAAACAAGAGAACAGAAGCAATGCAGTAATCTCTTTGGCAGCAAACCGCCAAGCATCACGAGAAATTCAGAGCATGGCGAACCCAGCGAAGATGGTGCTCAAGACAACAGTCAGGCCCCATGTGCGCCCAGCCTCAATGACGGCGGCGCCATTGGTCTTTGTTGTTGTTGAGCTGTCTGAGTCGGAGTCATCACCATCGTCGCCTCCTGGAGTGCCAGTGTAGACAACATTGGGATCGTCAGTAGCGCTGGCTGTCGCTTTCACGGCAGCTGTGTTGGTAGCTGTGGAGGTGGCATTGTACTTCTTGGGGTTGCTGGCACCGCATGGGTGGTTCTGGCGGCAGTCAGAAGCGCAAGAGGCACTACCCTTACAGTCCTCGACACATTGATTACCCCATTCCTGGCAGACGTAGAATGGTAGGGTCAGGGAGTATTCAGACACGTTGGGTTGCTTGCCGTCACCGCAGATGCAGCCGTATGTAAGGGTTTTCTGGACAAAAGAAATTAACAGTTGTCAACCAAGCCTAGATAACGAAACTTACAGGATCACAATCGTTGACCTTGGTATCTCCCTTGCTAGTCTGACTACAAATCATAGGGCAGGTTTCTATTTCGTTCTGGCACCAAACACCTGGTTCTGTATTAGTCCCTGCACCCTAAAATAACCGGCGATAGAGCTTTACTCACGGCGTTGAGACAGGGGTACACTCTCGGGGTCAATAACATAGTCGGCGTTGACAACGGCAATGGCTGAGGCAGCAACGGCCAGAACGGTTGTTCGGAGAGAAGGCATTATTGTGACGTATTTGTGTCTTGTATGAGAACTAGTTGTGCTGGATACGATGAAGGTATGTATGTGGTTGATACGTATGCGAGAAGTCCAAGAAAGCTCGTAAACGGTGAAGATTGACGAAAGGTATGGATTTTCTTTGGCCGGGAGTCAGCGGTTTTATTCACTTGTATTCCATTGGAAGTCTCTCTCTTTCCCATAATGAGGAGATTGCTTGTGCTCTGCGGGAAGGAGAGGTATGGAGGATGCTATCACTAAGACAACCGGGGCAATACCCGTCGGCTCGGACGATGTTTGACTTACAGATTAAGGACGAGGTATGTGAGTGACGACCAACAATTTGAGAATAGCGAGCAAAAGAAGAAATAAAAGATTAAGATGACGAGTTAACGACTGTTGAGAATCAAGACCAGGTCTGATATAGCGAGTGTATCAAAAGCAAGTGGTGAGAGAAGAGGACGATGAAGAAAAGATCGAGGAGGTCCGAGACATTTCAATGACAGACAACCCCCGGCTATATGTATATGGATGCATGGATCATGGATGAAAACCTCTCTACGGATACCTTAGGTTCAGATACCTACCGCCGGGCTACAGCGTCAAAAGAAATGACCGTAGCAAAAGCTGAGGCGAGACCCGAGCCTGGGCGATATCATGACCACAGACGGTGGACAAAGTAGCACCAGTAGCACCAATTTTCGCAGAGCGAACAGGGGACTTTAGGAGCAGCATAGCAGCATTGGGCTTAGCTCTAACATATCCCAGCAGCAATGAGACTTTATTTGCTCCATATCGTCCACCACTCGGCGCATTTTGTGCCCAGGAGGTCCCGGAATACTCTGGAGGCTAGGCCCGACAGACTCAACTAGCGCGGTCCGCCGCTGAAGCTTGGACTTTTTAGGGCGGTCTGGGGAGGTTTGGCTCGCTTGTTGTAAAACCGTAATCTCCAAGGCCCTTGGTTTTAAGAGCCGTGATTAAAAAGGAGTCAATAGTATCATCGATAATGTTCTTGTTACGGCAGCCCGGTCTGTGATCTTCAGAAGATCCCAATGGAGATCTTTTCAGTTGGCTCAACGCTACCGTACTCTTGTCAGATGTCGGTGATGCCCCATACTCGCCATCATGGGCATACACACGAGTGGAGGTCGTCCTTCGTTTGTCTCCTCTCAACCGCATGTCTAGAGCTTGGCTTTGTGGCGGACGCGAACGGTTGACTACTACAGACTCCACCTCTAGTAGTCATGGAGCGATATGAGACCACTAGGTACTGCACATTTGTTATTTTGGTCTTCTCATTGTGCATCGCAGAGTGCATCTTGGACCACGCGAACGACGCGCTCCAGTTGGTGGTTGAAGTCGCTCACAACATGTACGAGCCCACCATGATTCACGTCGGAGTATTCTTTACGGACGATTGGCCACTCGGATGCAAGAATGGTGGCCAACTGTTCCCATAAAGGGTAAATCTGTTCGGTGCTAGGCATCTGGACCAGCCAACAACCTTCGTATTTCTTGCATATGGGCGGGGCATGTCACTGCACTGAGCCCTTCGATAACCCCGCGCAATGCACCACGACGAGAACATGATGCTATGGATATCGCGCCAATCGTTGGTGTTGATGATATCTTGTTTGTGCCTCACTATGGAGCTGACGCGGCCAGATGTGCAGACTCATAGAGAAGCAATCACAGTCGCACATTTTATGAGGTATCACACAGCAAAGTCGAACAATCACCACTTCTGGTAACCCAATATCGCAGGTGAAGGAACACTCTGCTGGCTATAAGACATTTGGAAAGCGGAGTGCATTTGGAGATATGACGGACTAACCGAAGCGATGTCCACTTGTCTCTCGTACAAGATAGTAAGGTGACTTCGTATCGTATCGAATCGTGCTCGTGCCATGCAGGCATCAATCGAGGCGAAGGCCCTTACAGAGTACACAAAGACTTGGTTATGACGGGTCACAAAAAGATAACCAAACCTGAAAGGGACCAGCCTCGACTTCAAAGGAATCCTCAAGTCTCGAGAGGTATTCATTCTATGTGGAGAGTAGATTCTTACCCCGCAGAGCCAGGATAATTTCTCCTGATTCAAAGTGAACGTGCAAGAACTTAACAGAAACTTTGGGCCACTCGACCTTGGTGTCTTCCTCCAACTTCGGTCACTCCTTTGCTTCCAACCTCCTCTATTTCGCTCCTTGGTTACGATTAGAGTTACAGTTTGAACTGGACCAGATGACAATGTCATATGATATGATGAGAGTTCTGTGGCTTAGAACAAAGTAACCAGACTCTCTGTTCTTGTATCCCTTGATAGAAAGCCACATTCGATGAGATCTCACGCTTATCAATCTGGGTTCCGCTACATCCCGAGCTCAGACGACCGGTATCCGCCCGACCTCTTCGGCCGGGCACGGAGCGGATGTGGCTTTCGAGCTCCGTATTTCAAGACAAAGGCCGGCCGTGAATGCGGCGGTCATGGCGTACCCTTGCAAGTGTGCTATTTTGGTTGATATCCAAGTCAGTGGGCATTGAGTTTGTCTACGAAAACCTTTTCCGTACTACATACAGCATGTGATTGGTTTACTGTAAGTAGGTAATTAGCTTCAGTAGGCATTGAACGATAAGTCGACTCTCCTCCCATGCCGCGATACCTCGCGGAG